GGTGGGTTTTGGGGGGTTATGCACGACCAAAGAAGGGGGCAAAGGGGAGGGGGTGATGTGTGGTTCTTGGCCTCACATATGGTGACTTATTTGGTGGGTAAGGGGTCAATACATTCTCAATTATCCCTTGTCTTGATATGGTTGTTTATTCAGCCTTGTTAGGGAACACATAGGGACCACAATTGGTACATGTTGGGGAAATGAATGGGTTTGTTTTTGGCTCCTTGTTTTTGGCCAAATCAAAGGGAAAAGAGGGGTTGTGGTATGTTGTGGTTTCGGCCAAGGAAAAGGAAAGGTGAAGAGGGACTTAGGTTTGTGTTTGGATTTTTGGGAGTTGGTTTTTGGGGTGGTGTGTTTCGGCCATCATGAGGGGGAAAGGTCCAAAAGGACCATGGCTGGGTTATATGGTTTAGGGGTGACTAATTCATTCCAAAGGGGATTAAAACACTTAGACACTATTCCATTGACTTGTTTAAGGACTTTAGGATCGTTGCTAGTAACCGGGGGTATATCATCCTCCCCGTCTTTAGAAGAGTTTGTCCTCAAACTCGGAAGTTCCTCTGGCTCAAAGTACGGACTGATATCTTTGATGTTGAAGGTAGCGGATACTCCGTAATCTCTCGGAAGATTGATCTTGTAGGCATTGTCGTTGATCTTTTCTAGGATTTCGAATGGTCCATCAGCTCTTGGTAACAGTTTGGATTTGCGTTTGATCGGAAAACGCTCTTTTCTGAGATGAATCCATACCAAGTCTCCCGGTTGGAAACTCGTGCTCTTTCTCTTCTTGTTGATTCGTGCACAGACTTGCTCGTTCATGGCTTCAATCTTGTCTCGGGCCTTGTTGTGAAGGTCCTGAATCTCCTTTGATCTCTTTTCCGCTTCCCAGCTGTATTTGGTGTCCGCCATGATAGGATCAAGTTGAAGTGGGGTCAAAGGGTTCGAACCATAGACGATCATAAAAGGAGACAATCCAGTAGTCTTGTTCGGGGTCCGGTTGTAGGCAAATTCAGCATGTGGTAGTAACTCCTCCCATTGTTTGATGTTTCTTTTGATGAGGGCTCGGAGGAGAGTTCCAAGAGTTCGGTTAGTGACCTCGGTCTGTCCATCAGTTTGGGGGTGGCTCGACGTACTAAACTTGAGTTTCGTTCCCAACTTCCTCCACAAAGTCATCCAAAAATGGCTAAGGAATTTCGTGTCCCTATCCGAGACCATGCTTTGGGGAACGCCATGGAGTTTTACTATCTCTCGGAAGTAGAGATCAGCCACTTGTGAAGCATCGTGGGTGGTCACGCATGGCACGAAGTGCGCCATCTTTGAGAATCGGTCCACTACGACCATGATAGAATCCTTGCCGCGTTGTGTCCTTGGCAGCCCGGTAATGAAGTCCAAGCTCACGTCCTCCCATGGGGCAAATGGCACGGGCAGAGGAAGGTGTTTTCCTTGAGGTAACGAATGGCTCTTGGCAAGGTGGCAAGTGTTGCATCGTTTGATGAAGTGTTCTACGTCTCGTTCCATCTTCGGCCAGTAGTAGTGCTCTCTCATCATCATGTGAGTCTTATCGACTCCATAATGACCAGCGAGGCCGCCTCCGTGGACTTCGTCAATGAGGGTTTCACGAACGCTACATTTCGGGATGCAAAGTTGGTTGCCTCGAAAAAGATAACCGTCCTTGGCAAGAAAGTCTCCATGGGGCCGAATGAGGCACTTAGAATAAGTGTCCTTGAAGTCTTCATCCTCCTTGTAAAGCTCCTGCAAAAACTCAAAACTAACAAGTTTGGTACTAAGTACCGTTAGTAATAAATGTCGTCGGGACAATGCATCGGCACCCTTGTTGGGAAAAATATTATAGATTTTGATGATGATGTATTTAGAATGTATTAGGGACTTTAGGCCTCCCCCAATATTCAATGTAATTTTTCTTTTTAGAAATATTGTCAAAACCGAGCTCTTGAGATTTCCAATGAAACTGTGATATTTCTTTAAGCGTTTTGATGCCTGAAGACTTAATCAAATTTAGTGATATGGAAATTGGATATCTTGTTCGGAAATGTCAGAGACAAGTAAGGATTTCTCAATCAGATGAAAATCCTCAGATCCGGAAGACTACATAAGAACCGGATGTCTCGCTACAACCCGCTGAAGGCTAAGTCATCCAAATCGGAAGACTAGCGCGGATCTCTTTCTCACCCAGAAGTCTGAAGAATGACTCCTCCGGATTTGTCAGCTAAGAATCGGAAGACTCACTGAAGACCGGAATTCTCAGAAAGCGGACAAGTGAGAAAATACTTAGAAAAATTATCTAAGTCCTGAATGAAGAAATTCTACCCGTTGGTAAGGAAGAATCAATCTCTTGATTCTCAACGGCTAGATTGAAGATAATTATGCTAATTCAAGAACAAATAACTCGAAGACAAAGTCTGGCCCTCTAAATTAAAGAGCCTGCCCAGAATTCCTAAACAAGCACTAGAAGACAAACAGAGTAAAGTGCTACAGTCTTGAATTCTTGAACAACAGCTAGAAAGACGGATTCTGTCGAAAAAGGAATCCTTTCTCAACAATTGGGTACGTCCAAACACCCACTTCAACAAAGAATCTTCAAATCACAATCTTCATTCAAAATTGAAGCCAGCAAATGCAACGGATAGTCTATTATGATTCAACGGATAGATTATCCAATCCAGCTATAAATAGCATCCTTGGAAGACTGGAGAAGGTATGAATAGAATATACGAAGCAATCTAAAACAAAGCTATCTCATTCACAGTTAGCCCAAAAAGCTTGATAAAGAGAGATTTCAAAACTCCTTATCCAGAAGCAAACTCCTCCTCCTTCCAAAGAGCTATAGTGCAAACACTTGAAGGTTTCCTTGCCTCAAGTACCACACCACGTTGAAGGATACAACTTTTTGATCAAACTTCTTGATTAAAAAGGGGGTAGGTCAACTTTCTTACAAGTTGATCTTGCAAGTCCTATTGTTCGGATCTTGCAGTTGTTGAAGAAGCGTGACCTTCAAAGGAACAACAAAGCCAGCACGAGTGCAGTAGCAACATTGGTCTTGCGAAGATATACCGTGCAGAAATTCA